CATTTCAGGGAGAAGAGGAGGGGGAGGATTTCCTGCCTGGCTCTCTGGATTCCAGCACAAAGCACCAGCTCCCCTCCTCCCCTGCGTAGTCTGATCTGTCTCCTGTGCCCTGCTGGAAATCATTGCAGGTCCAGCTGGGAGCTAGTCTGGAGGCTGCAGACTGTCACAGCCAGGCCTGGTCTTCTCTGGCAACTGAGCCAGTCCCGATGGAAGATCCCCATTTCCCGCAGGGGGAGGAAATCAAGCTGGTACGAGCTACCCTATATCTTCTCATCCTTCTCCTCCCTCGGGGGAAGGAAGTCCTCTCCACATGCGTCTCCCTTTACGCATCCACCTGGTATTGGCGGGGGACATAGTTCATTCCTAAACATGCCCCATAATGCACCATCTCTTATTGGGCTCCAAAGGCATTTTCAGAGCAACCGTCACAAAGGGGTGTGGGTGACACCCGCAGGGCCACGCACTCCTTGCAAGACAGTGTTGGGATGAACCCAGGTTAGGGTGAGGGGCCCTGCTTGAACGGGTTACCGTGGAGAGCGCTGGCTGTCAGTCGAGTCGGAGATATCAAGCCGACGGGCACAGCAGAATCAAGGTCAAAGCAAACTGCAGGAAGGCAGCACTTGGGAACAGGCAGAGCAGGAACAGCGCAATCCAGGACAGGAACAGGCAGACAGGGTGGTGGGAGCAGACAGCCAGGTGCTAGGCATGGATCCAGACAGGTGAGGCTCAGGTTGAGGCTAGGCCAAGGTGCAGGCAGGAACCTAGACAGGGATCCAGGCAACGGGTCAGGCTAGGCAGGGTTCACATGAGATCTAGACAGGAGCAAGCAGGTTGGCAGGAGGCACTGCCAGGCTATCTGTTTGATCCACCAGATTGCCAGCATGTGTGTGAGGCTTGGGCCTGAGCAGTGAAGCCCTCTTCCTGCAGGCCCCGAGGCTGACTCAGCAGGGTCTAGACTCATTACAGGTGACTAATTATGGTCTAGGAGGGTGGCGGGTTATGTGATGCCCCCCTGGAGTGAGGTCCCTCAATAATGCCTTGCAGGGGACAAGAGCATACCCCAAGCAGTAGAGACCTTGGTGGAAGTAGCTGCCTGTGATGGACTGGCTTTAATAGGAGTCTGCCCCTGTGCAGAGGGGAGCCCAAGAGAGGCAAGTGTTTCTGACCTTCCCAACTGCAGCTGGCAAGTAGAAGGGAAATGTTTTTAGTCCTGCAGAGTCTCTCTTTTGGCTGCAAAGTTTGCCTATGGGGCTGGAATTCTTGGTGCCCTGTGTTCACACCAGCACCCACAGCCCTGTCCTCTCCTGGGGCAGGGAAATGGTCCTCCAATCCAACTCAAATCTCCACAGGTCCAGCTGGATGCCACCTGCCAGGCCATGGAGAATAGCAGCCAACCTGCCTTTGATGTGCTTCCTGAGCCCTCCACCCCACCGGGGACCACAGAGGACCTGTGTCCTGTGAAGCCAGAAGGAATGGACATGGTAAAAACCAGCTTGTCCCCTCTTGGTCACCTGGGATTAGATGCACTGATAGGACTGGACACCACCTCCCATCTTTGATCCTCCTACTTTCCCAGCTTGTTTGGGTTGGTAGTAGCAAGACTTACCCAGGCCAAGATTTATCCAGGAGCATCCCTGTGGCCCCTGCAGCCTTCTGGTTTTGCTTTGTCACTGTGTTCCCTGCTCCCATGCCCCTCACCTAGTTGCAAATCTATAACCCCTTCTTCTTCTGGTGTGGCCTGACCTCCCTCTGTCCCTTTCCAGTGTCTCCCGCTGCAGCTGGAAGCGAGCCATCTGGCCATGGATCATGCCATCCAGGCTACGTCTGCTCTAGCTACCGAACCCCCAGCCCTGCCTGACACCACAGAGGATCTGCATCTGCTGAGAATGGAAGAGTCTGAGATGGTATGAACGGATGTTTGCCCTTTCATTTTCCTAGGTGGCTACTGTTTGTGAGGATGATCTTTGGGGTCCTCTTACCAATTCATGCCCTTACACACCCAGCCTAATACTTTTTCTGTATGGTTGCCTTCAAATGCCCTTAGAGTCCTTTGCACAGCTGCCAGGGCTGCTGCAATAGAGGTGCAAGGCCAGCTGAAGCAGAGGATTCTGGGGAGCATCTTACACACTCCATTAGCTTCTTGACACTGTTTCGAGGGCTGCCAACATGAACTCCAGGTCCGGTCCGCCCAGGGGCTGTTCTTTTGTGTGATGGGCACCTGCCTACTGGGATGGGAGCCATCACGCTTGGGCAGGAGACGAGAACGACTGTCCCATTGTAGTGACACCTTGTGATGGCTGACCTGGACAGCGCTTCAGCTGGTGACTGACTCCTTTCCTAGCTGTTGCTTACCCGTGTGCCCCATACAGAGGGCAGGGGAAAGGACAGAAAAAGCTTTTAAAATATGCTGGCACCAGCACTAACCATGTAGGGGAGTGGAACTTCTCTCTGCTTTCTCCAGTCATAGTCAGGGCCCTGGACGGCTGCAGTTGAAGAAGGAACTTGATGAAGGATCTTGGAGGTGGTTCAGGGAAGAACCACAAGACATTAGAAGACAGTGGGAGACCTTAGCTAGGGGAAAGTCCAGGGCTGACTTGGTCACAGTCTTACCGGTATCTACATGGGAACAAAAGTGACCTAAGAGGCCTCTCCAGTCTACAGGCAGAGGGATCCAAACTAGTTCCAAAGCTGGGAGATGAAATTGGACAAAGCCAGAATAGAAAATAAGGCACAAATATGTAATACTGAGGGTCATCAGCCCTTGGGGCAACTTCCCAAGGGCCGTGGAGGATTCCCCACTGCAGGGAATTTGCCATAATGGAGTTGGATGTGGCAGCTAATTCAAGGGTAGTCGTGTGTCGTACTGGGTTCATGCTGGGTGATGACAGTGGTCTCCTGACTTCAGGAGTTCCCTCCAGGTGGTTTGGTTTTGGGACACTTGGGTTGCCAGCAGCCCCATTTTATTCCTGGAGCTCTCAGCCCCTGTCCGTGCACCTGAACTGTCTAACCTCTGTCCCTTGCCCTGTGAAATGCTGCAGGACCAGCTGGGCACTGGTCTGGAGGCTGCCAACTACCAGCACCAGGGCTCTGTTGCTGTGTTCACACCGCCTCTGAGCACTGAGGACCGTCGCTCTGCAGCTATACTGGCCAGGAAGGAAGAGATCGAGCTGGTGGGTTCTGGCCTTTCCCCCCACTAACCTTACTACCAACACTGCCCTTCCCATGCCTCTTCTGCATGAAGGTCCAGGAGGTCCTGGATTGGGCACCCCCAGCACCCTGCAAGCAAAAAGGAAAAGCAGTGCGAGCACCATGGTAGTGCCGGGAATCGGAGCAGCCTAGCTCCCAGCCCAGCTGCCCTGTGGCTTTTTGTCCCATTCTAGATGCTGCCTGTGGCTTTC